TATTCTATTCTATTCTATTCTATTCTATTCTATTCTATTCTATTCTATTCCTTATTTTGGGGTTCATGCATGCTAAGCATTAATTGGGTGTACACTGTGACTTAGCATGTTGCATGAAACCAGCCACTTGTAGGTTCTTCAGGAAAACACAGTTAAGTATGAGCACTTTGTAATGTGCAAATCAGGTCAGTGGAACCATCAACATTAGACAAGAACATGGCTCAATGCTGCCTTCTCCACCCATTGGACCTCCACCAAGAAAAGCTAATTTAGGAGCTGCACACAGTACTGTACAATTTGCTAAATATGCCATGAATGGAACAGCAGTTGTACTAATAAGGAGGTTCTATGTTAGCACACAGGGCCTAATTTTAAGCCTGCAGCCAAGCTCCCTGATGTCAGAGGAGTTACCAAGAACGCTAAACTCAGACCATCTACCTGTAGTAGATGTTGTAGACACAGGAAGCGAGAGGCATCTTCTTCGGCTGAGCCCAGGATAAAGTGATGTTGCCCAAAAAGTCAGCTGTCCACTGCAGGTTCTGAACCTTATAGACAAGAGTATCATCTATGTAAAAAAAAAAGAAAAAAAAAGAAAGAATTCCTGACTTTAATTAAGGACCAGAAAGAAGGAGGTTGAGATTAAAGAACCCGTGGTGGCGTAGTGGTTAGAATGCAGTATTGCAGGCTAACTCACTGCTCACTGTCAGGAGTTCGATTCAGACCTGCTCGAGGTTGACTCAGTTTTCCATCCTTCCGAGATTTGGTAAAATGAGGACCCAGATTGTTGGGGGGCAAGAGGCTGACTCTGTAAACTGCTTAGAGAGGGCTGTAAAGCACTATGAATTAGTATATGTCTAAGTGCTATTGCTATTTTATTTTATTTTATTTTCTTCCTTCTCTTTTTTTCCTTCCTTCCTCCCTCCCTCCCTTTCCTTCCCTTCACAGTGCTTAGAATGCGGGCTAATTCTGCAGACTGCCAGCAGTTCAATCCTGACTGGCTCAAGGTTGACTCAGCCTTTCAGCCTTCTGAGGTGGGTAAAATGAGGACCCAGATTGTTGGGGGCCATAGGCTGATTCTGTAAACTGCTTAGAGTGGGCTGTAAAGCACTGTGAAGCGGTAAATAAGTCTAAATACTATTGCTATACCTGTTATCACCAGTTCTATGCAGAAACGGTGTACTGGACTAAAGGTTAACCTACTACCTTCCTTCCTTCCTTCCCTCCTTCCTTCCTTCCCCTTTCTCTTTCCCATCCAATCATCCAGCCGTCCATCCAGTTTATTTACATACTATGCACTCCTAACACACAAGTCAGTCTACAGCAGTTAATAGAACCAATCACCTGAACCCAAACTTTTATATTACTCTTATAAATTGTGCCTTGAGGTTTTTTTTCCCTAAAGGTTGATTACGGAGAGACTACATTCAAGAGAGATGGATCCACCAAACCAAATGGCTGGAAACCTAGAGTAGGTCAAGTGGGATTTCTGTCCCAGCTACACAGATCAAAAGCTCGGGTTGAGCTCCTCACCTCACTTCCTCCACTGCCCCCTCCCTGCAAATAAAAACAGAAGAGTTCAAATAGTCTTTTCTCTGATCCACTCATTTCTCTAAGATCAACTTCCCCGCCCTGGCTAAATTGATTCAAAGCCATTGAGTGCCACTCTGTAAAATTCCAGCCAGGTGGACATTTTCCACATCGTGGTGGGTGAAGAGAATCTGGGCAGACTCCTCCCAATCAATATTTAATTAAAGAAACTAAAGACTGATGGATGCTCAGTGACCCTTTCCACTCTGGGAGGAAACGGAGCTGCACCGCAACGTGGGAAGCCGTGTCAAACGGAAAGGGCGATCGATGGCCATTAATGGGGAACTTATCTCAGCCATAATGAATTGAGGACCAGAGTTTTTTTTGCTGACAAAACAAACAGGGCAAGAAACACTTGGCGGAAAAGCCATCTTGTACTTCACCCCACCAGCCTCATTGACGGAACACAGGCAGTCCTTGACTTGGGAGCACAATTGGGGCTGGAATTCCAGTCGCAAGTCATCAGAAAGGCTGGTCATGATTCCAGGAAATGACAATAAGGGTAACTACGTATTTGGTTCTACACATCCTAACAGCAGCTAGGATTGCATATGCACAATTGTTGGAAAACCCCCCAAAAAACCTGCAGACGATGATATAATTTTTTTAAAAATCTGGAACCTGCAGAGATGGATAGGGTAGCCCTAAAAATTAAAGGAAAAGTAGATTCTGACTATTTCATAAGATAGGAATTAGTCTATAAATGATTAAATGACAGATATTGAGGTTAGAGGAGTGGAATTAGGTAAAATATGGTTTATAGGAGAAAGAAAAACAGATGAGTAAAATATTGCTGACGGTTATATCATCGATACTATAATGGAAGAATATATGTTATAATATGATTGATGTTATCACAGATGATTGATTGATATTACCGCATATTTGTTTTTATTTATTTATATACAAATATGTGTGTGTGATCATAATGACAATGATGTCTATGTCAACTCATAAAACATTTTGTATACACGTTTTATAGTTGACAACAGAAAGAAGGGGGGAGCTTCAAAGAGCAGGCGGCAGTGTGGAATCGAAAGGACATTCCATTCATATTTTCTTCAGAAACTGATTAGATGACTGAAGCTTCTGCTGCGCAAAAATCTAATTGGAGAGCATGATTGATGACTCTTGGCTATGGATGTGTTTTGTTGGATGATACACCGGGTGGCGGGGGGGAAGCAGGATCAAGGGTGACAGTGAATTACATATCTCAGAGTCGGCTATGCCCAGGTAAATGCCGGAATGTTAACTTCTAATAAATCTTTTCATTTTAGGAGTGTGGCTTGAGGCTCATGATTTAATTGGAGTAACTGCCAGAATCCTGACAGTTTGTAAGTTTGTATGTTCACACTTTGAATACCTAGAGAGCACACTGCTCAACATAGAAAAGAAATGTATGATATAAAACAATAAAAAGTATTTCAACAAAAAAGAAAAAAGACAGGCTGGTCAGAGACCTGAATAAAGATATTGTCAGGTTCCCAGTAATGCAAGCATCGTAAAATGAAATTTTATTTCCATCTGATTTTGATTCCATCGACTTAATTGTTTTTGGATTTCTGTTTAGAGGTCATGTCTTACCAGTACAGTTCTTTTCATCGCTGCTATCCGGACAATCCAGAAAACCGTCGCATCGTTCCATCTTCATGATGCAGGCCTCCCCATCTTCACATCTGAATCCACTAGGGCATAACAAGGTGCTGTGAGTGGCTGGAAGACAGAAGAACATACAACACTGCCATCTTACAACAAGTAGACGAGGCAGATCTACTTAGTTGCCTCGCACTAAGTAATCTGTTGCCGTATTTTGAATAGTAGAAGCATCCCTGGATTTGGGTGCCAATTCTTTCCCTGAAAGCCAAGTAGATCTTTATAGTCATCACAATTGTTGGGTTTGTCCAGTCATGATCAACCAATACTATGATTTTGTATGAGCTACTTGAATCAGATTAATGGAGAAATGAGCTACCATGATTTACTCATCACAATTCGGTTTGTCCATTCATGACCAACCAAAAGTTTATACCATCTAATTCAGGGGTGGGGAACTACGGCCCTTTTATGACTTTTGGACTTCAACTCCCAGAATTCCTGAGCCAGTCATGCTAGCTTAGGAACTCTGAGAGTCGAAGTCCACAAGTCATAAAAAAAAAACATTGTTCCCCATTTTCTGATCTAATTGAATCAAATTAATGGAGAAATGAGCTTACCATGGTTTATTCATACAACTGTTGGATTTGTTCATTCATGACCAACCAACATTATGGTTTTGTATAACTAATTGATTCAGATTAATAAAGAAACGAGCTACCTTGGTGAACTCGTCACAATTGTTGGGCTTGTTCATTCATGATCAACCAACGTTAAACTTTTGTAACATCTAATTGAATCAAATTAATGGAGAAATGAGCTTACCATGGTTTATTCATACAATTGTTGGGTTGGTTCAATCGTGACCAACCAACATTACAGTTTTGTACACCTAATTGATTCAAATTAATAAAGAAACGAGTTACTTTGGTGAACTCATCACAATTGTTGGGTTTGTTCATTCATGATCAACCAACTTTAAATTTTTATAACATCTAATTGAATCAAATTAATGGCGAAATTAGCTTACCATGGTTTATTCATACCACTGTTGGGTTCCTTCATGACCAGTTAACTTGGTTTTGTACATTGAATTTGGTCCCAATTGATGGTGAAATGAGCTACCATGGTTTACACATCACAACTGTAGGGTTTGTTTATTCATGACCAACCAACATTATGGATTTGTATGATCTGTTTGAACCCAAATAATGGCGAAACGATACACCAGTTGGGAGCCTCAAAGATCTGCCACCATTTTTTTTTAGGAATGCAAAACCAGGGATACAGATTAGAAGCCATTCCGGAGGGTCTCCAGCATTGTCTGGCAAGAGAGAAGCTAAGGAGACCTCCTGGGACAGCAGGGATCTTCCAGGAGCTCCCCATAAAGCCAACAAAGACTTACGGCAGTTCAGTTCATCTGTGCTGTCCTGACAATCTTTCAAGCCATCACATCGTTTCCAATTTGGAACACACTTCTTGGTCTGCTGGCACTCAAATTCAAACCGGCTGCACCGTCCATGGACACTGGCAGATGTGGAACTGGCACCAACGGCTGGGTGGGCAGAAGGTGGAAAGCGTGCATTATCACATAGGAAAGCGTGCATTATCACATAGAGATGCTATTACTCTGCTTCTGAACCTTGGCTGTTGGCTGGAGAATTCTGGGAGTTGAAATCCGCACATCTTACAACGACCAAAGTTCAGACATACTGCATTAGAGAATAGCTTTGTTGGGCTACAATTTATGTTCATATGGAAGGCTGATTTCTTTGCCTCCTGTGTCGCCAGATGGTAGCCTGAATCTCTTGAGACAGGAGAAGACTTGACTGCAGCTTCCAAACCATGAGCTGACCCTTCCTAGTCCTAACATCTGAGCCATCAGAAACTGGTGCACTCAGTCACATCTGCAGAAACAATGCCTTCCCCATCCAATCAAAGCAGAATTGTTCCCGTACCATTCCTTTAAGGGTGCTGCAAAAGAACCTTGACGTGTTTTGAAGATGTTGAACTACCTGACATGGCACCTTAGCCAGGTTGTCTTCTATGAATTAACCCATAACAGTTTTTCCAAACTTGGTGTCCCTGAGATATCCTGGATTTGGTCTCCTCTTCCTCCTTCTCCCCCCACAAATCCACCCTCTTTCTAGCACTGAAGATGTTCCCTAGTTGGGTAATGAAACTTCTGCAAGAAAAGTAAAGACTCCACAGTTCTACTCTTCCTCCTTCTCCTTCCTCCTCCTCCTCCTCCCAGTATAATATGCAAATTGATCCACATGAACTTAATGCACAAACCAGGACTTGTGGTTGGTTGCCTGCACAAGCCAAGCCATTAATGCTTGTTCCTCAACCCCCTTGCTAAAAAACACCCTGCTTTATTTTTGTAAGTGAATGTAGCATATCTCCTGTGGCTTCAGGTTGCTGATGGGACTGGAAAGCAAATTAATCATCTCCTGGGAGTTGGCATTGCTGTAATTCCTTCCTATTGTTGGAACATCTGGCAGCTCTTAGGCCCATGATGGCAAACCTATAGCACGCGTGCCACAGGTGGCACCCAGAACCATTTGTGCCGGCACGCGAGCTGCAGGCAAATTTACCTCACTGGGCATGCGCGTGCTTCACAGCTGATTTTCAGTGGGTTTGAGGCCTTTTTCAGCCTCCCAAAGGCTTGAGGAAGGCTTCTGCAGACTTCTGCAAGCTTTGTAGGCTGAAAACTAGCCCCATTTCATCACTTCCTGTTTTTCCGAAAATACTGGAAGTTACAAAACGGGGCTAGTTTTCGGCCTACAAAGCCTGCAGAAGCCTTCCTCAAGCCTCTGGGAGGCCGAAAAAGGCCTCAAACCAGCCGAAAATCAGTTGTGAGGCGCAGTGCAAGTAAGGGGGCAGCGGTGGGTGGGAGGGATTGCACATGCATGTGTAGGGGAGGTGGGGCGCGCACATGGCTTTCTGGGTGCTGGCACGCGAGCGCGAGCATGCAAGCGCATGCTCAATTTTTGGCACAGGAGCCCAAAAAGCTTAGCCACCACTGTCTTAGGCCTTCTCCATCTGGCACTCATGTAACATGTCGTGTTGTGCAATGCAAGGCACACGAATGATGCAATCTGTGTCATTTGCACAGCGGTGTGAGGTCATTTCACCTCCTTTTCTTGCCCAGCCCACCAAAACTGATGTCTAGAAATCGGTGAAAGGGTCAAGCATTAAAAAGCAAGGTGCCTTACGTGCGGTGGGGCAGGCCTCCTCGTCGGATCCATCGGCACAGTCTCGATATCCATCGCAAACCCAGCTGTTCATGATGCACGTCCCGCTATTACACCGGAAGTGATTTGGGCCACATGTGGCAGGAGTTGTAGTGGTGATAGGGATCACTGCAGAGCCTAGATTCCAACCAGAGCAACTTCAGAGTAGAACCTCAAAGTGAGCCAGTCAAGAAAGAGAGACTATGGGGATTCCAAGAATGCTGATTCGTTGTTGTAGAGTCAGGGTCTCTAAACTTCACAACTTTAAGACTTGTGGACTTTAACACCCAGAATTCCCCAGCCTTCATGGTTGCTTCGGAAATTCTGGGAGTTGAAGTCCACAGGTTGTAAAGGGGCCATAATTGCCCATCCCTGACTTAAACCATCTAGATTAGTGTCCCTTTCCCCAAAAGCTGTCCAGTCAAAGCAAGGCACTGAGATTCATCATAATATTATTTCCCCAATGTTGTCCCCAAAGTACGGTTGAGAAGACTGTCAGCTTTGGAAGCCATATTGAGACCAGATGCTCCCACACTGCCACATTTTGAGCCTGGGAAAAGGGGAGGGGGGAATTTCTTGGAGTATACGTAGTTAGCCATAACAACATTCTTTTTCTAATTCAAGGTCATGTTATTTTGCGCATAAGTGAGAGGAAGTCTTAACTTGGGACGGATGGTGATTGGGCCATGGGATGCGGTGATGGGTGCAGGGGGTGGATTTGTAGTTTTTACTTATTGCAAGGAAGCCCAGAACTTTCAGATTTGGGATTCCCCAGATGGGCCAGTTTACTATCCAATTAAAACACAACTTTTGAGAAGATTCTTGTCTCTGAGTTATTGGTTGGAGTGGAGGGTTTTCTGGAACACTGACAAAGATTGCTTCTGCTGGGGTCTTTGCACAGACTGCTGTTCCCCCAAAATAAGGCTACAGCCAGTCAGCAGGTAATTACTTCACCTGTCTGGGATAGCAAATAGGATGGCACAAGTTTTGGTTCTGATCCTGTCGGCTTCCAATTTATTCACAACTTAGCTCAGGGGGCACCAAATTTGGCAGCCTGTGGCTTTTATCTCCCAGAATTTTTCATGCTGGCGGACAAGTTTGGAGATGAGATGGAAGGAATTTTTTTAAAATCAAACTTGCAATGAAACAAAGCCAATATTACAAAGCAGAGAAATAAAATCCAAAAGGATCCCGGCAGATTGCCGGTGGAATGCAATGGTTTTGCAACACGAACCAAAATATAAGTGAATCACGTGATGCTGCAGCCAAAAAGACAAATGCGATTTTAGTCTGTATCTGCACAAAGATAGTGTTGTGGCCTGTCGGCTGCCGACCCCTCCAGCAGCCATATCAGAGGAGGGAATGGAGGTGGGAGGGAGGGAGGGGGAGAGGGAGAGGAAGGGAGGGAGAGAAAGAGAGAGAGAGGTCTGGAGGTGGCTGATGAGGAAGAGGAGGAACAGCTGGGTCCAGTGCCTGACACAGAATTGTGCAGAAGAGGCAGAGGAGAGGAGAGCAGTGGAAATCTATGGGCCGGTCCTTGGGACGGAAGGGCCACCACTGCTAATGAAACTCCACCCTAGCTCTGGGGATAAAAGGCAGGAGCTGGAGATGAATAGTTATGGCAGACAACTTTTTTGCCAGGGTTGTTGGCATTCCTAATAAAGGAATCTTTTGAGTTAACTTCAGAGGGTTTGTCGTGTTTGGGGAACTGGCTGGGTCAGAACACCTAGTTCCTAATTCCGGGGCCTCAGAGAACCAACTGTGAGTTAACTGGAAAAAACGGGACTCGCTCTTACCTCCACACGACTTCTCATCCGACCAATCTCCGCAGTCATTTTCTTGATCGCATTTCCATCGGTTCGGGATGCAATGCCCGTTATCACACTGGAACTGGTAATACCGAGAACAGCTGGGGGCTTCGGTTGGGTTTTCTAGCCAGGACAAAAGAAGCCAGTTAGTTTTCATCCCCTTCAGTGCCGAAGATATACAAACCAGCTTTTTTTTTAAAAGGTAAGAATGTACAGGGGGTCTTGAACGTAACCACGATCGGGACCAGAATTCCTGCCGCTAAGCAGGATGGAGGTTAAGGGAGCCACACCAACTTTTACAACCTTTTCACCACAGTTGTTAAGCGAATCGCTATGGCTGTTCAATGACTCGCCAGCTAACATTATTCCCCTTCTGAAAAGTTGCGTCTAACTTTCCTAAGCGAGACGAGAGAAAGGAAAGGGCATTTTCCTTGCAAGACTAAACTAAAACCAAACTAAAATGGGAGGGGAAAGCATTGGCTGGTAACCCCAGTGACATCATAATGGTATCTTCCATGAAACTGGTGTCATTATAGGTAGTCCTTGACTTACGACCACAATTGAGCCCAAAATTTCTGTTGTTAAGTGAGACACATATTGAGTTTTGCTCCATTTCATGGCCTTTCTTGGCTCAGTGGTTACATAAATCATCGCAGTGGATAAGTCAGTAACCCAAAATCTGGCTTCCCCATTGACTTGGCTTGTCAGAAGTTCGCAAAAGGGAATCATGTGACCCCAGGACACTGCAATTGTCATAAATATGAAACAGTGGCCAAACATCTGAATTTTGATCTCATGACCATGGGAATGCTGCTAGGTTGTAACTGTGAAAAACAGTCATAAATCCCTTTTTTCAATTCCACTGTAACTTTGAATGGTCACTAACAAACTGTTACAAGTCAAGGACTATCAGTATATAGATTATGCCACTTGGGCAATCATTATTATCTTCTTTTAACACCCCATAATCCCTTGTGGGGTGGAGTCTGGGCAACCAAATGTAGCAGAGTGTTTACTGGCCGGATGCCTTTCCTATTGCCGATGCGGAGGTTCTTTTCAGCAGATACATTCTCACCATACCCAGAAAGAGAAAGGTCTGCCTCTATCTAGGATCGAACTCACGGCTTCCTGTGAGCTCAAGCTCCACCTCTAAGGCCACCACACCCACTCTTGCTTGGACAACAAAGTCATGATATTTTGGCATCGCTCATTCCCCACTCCTACAACGTCTCCTTTCCTTCGAGTGGAACATTCTCCACTCACCACAGTTCGCCTCGTCCGAGTAATCTCCGCAGTCATCGGTGCCGTCACATTTCCACACCAAGCTGACACACACGCCATTCTGACACTGGAAGCTGAACTGGTCACAAGTACGATGGAACTCTGCATCCTGGGCTGCAAGCAAGCCAGCTCTCGTTAGGGATGGGAAATCCCACCGTCCCGGAGATCCAATTTTCCTAGCCACTTTTACTTACAACACCCGGCATAGGCAGGATCTTCGTCCGAACCGTCGCGGCAGTGCAAGGTGCCGTCGCACACCATGGAGCGTAGGAGACACTGTTGCCGGTTCTTGCACATAAAATCCATGTAGTGTGTGCAGAGGGATTCTCCAGAGCGGCAAAGCAAAGCAAGGTTTGTGGGTTGGGAGGAAGGAGAGAAAGAAGGATAAGCATTGGGAAAGAAAGTTGTACGACTAACTCACAATCACAGCTGAGCCCCCAATTTCAGGTGCCCAATTGGCTAAGCGCCCAAAGTTTGATCGTGGGATCACGGGAATGCTGCAACCATCAATGGTAAATCAATTATTATGCACCATAAATGCGATATGAGTTCTTTTTTTTTTTTCAGTACTATTGTGATTTCAGAACGGTCCCTAAATTAATGCAGTGTAAGTTGTAGGACGAAGGTGTCAAACTCAAGGCCTGTGGGGCAGTGGTGGGATTCTTGGGTGTGGCTTGGTGGGCCTGGCAGGGGAAGGATATTGCAAAATCCCCCTTCCCTCCCCACCCCACTAACCTGCTTTGCAGCTCCGTTCTCCTGTGCAGGGCAACCAAAGAAGACCCAGCCGATCAGCTGGGACTCAATGGGAGGCAGAGAACAAATGGGGTTGGCAAGGCCAGTCAGAGGTGGGATTGGCCGGTTCTCCGAACTACCCAAAATTTCCACTACTGGTTCTCCAGAACCGGTCAGAACCGGCTGAATATCACCCATGGAGCCATCCTGGCCTACCCAATGCGAAGAGGAAAGATCGGGCCAGCGTGGCTTCGATCCGGTCTACCCAGTGTGAACAGGAAACATGTCAGCAGTTTGGGAAGTGGCATCAAGCTGGCCACATCCACCCAGTTAGCTACATCCACCCAGTCAGCCACATCCACCAAGTTGGCCACGTCCATCCGCGCCCCCCCCCGAGGTCAACCACAGCTCCGATGCGTCCCTCAATGAAATTGAGTTTGACACCCCTCTTGTAGGACTACCTGTAAATACAGAGTGAAATAATCGATTGCAAATGCTAATTATAAGTTGTTTTCTAATGTCCGGGGCAGTTCTGTGACTTTGTTGTTTCCATTTTGGCTACCTAGCACCCGCACTGTCACCCTGGCTGTAACTTTCACACTCCAGTTACACTCACCACAGTGTTGTTCATCCGAGCCATCGGAGCAGTCCTGCACTCCATTGCATCTCTTACTAGAAGGGATGCACGTCCCCATGGAGCACTGGAAGCCATTGCATTTCTTCTCTGCCAAACAAATGAAGAGAAACAAGAGAGAGCAAACTTAAGTTTTAAATACACAAGACTTCCAGCCAGCCTAGGATGATGTCTTTGGTTTACCAAAGTGTGAAGAACTGGGAAGAGGAGGCTCTGAAAATTAGTTCTCACATAGTCAATGAAGACTCAACCATTCAGGCCAAAAATATCTTAAATCATGGCAACCGCACCAAAATTTGTTAATCTGAGATTTTTCGTTGCTCATCCAAGCAACTTCTTAAGCCAAAATAAATTTAGATAGGCAGAGATCAGAGAGACGTTGGAATGGACCGATTTTGATCCAGTTGGCATGATTTAAACTTTTTAGATATTTTTGGCCTGGATGATTGAATCTTCATTGATATGTTGCCATATGTTTTGGGGAGAAATCCTTGAAGTTCATATGGTAAGAGTTGAAGCGTTCCAACGACTCTCTGCCTATCTGATTTTTATTTTGATGGTGAAGTTGCTTGGAGGAACATCTCAGATTAACACATTTTGGTCCAGTTGCTGTGATTTAACCTTTTAGATATTCTCACATGGTCAAAAGTCTGGAATACCAGATCTGGCTACGCAAACTGCCTCTCTCCACCTACTCACCTATCTATCCAAAAGAGAAATGTCTTTAGCCATTGACACAGAAGAGGCACCATAGATTTGAACACTGATTGTGTAAATAGTGCTCCCGTTTGATACACTGGAATTCTTGTAACCACATCTTAGCCTTGCTATATATAATAAAGCATCTTATTAAAAGTTCATCAGACTTTTTGATGAATTGATCTAGTTTACTAGGAGATGTTTGACCACGGTCCATGTTAAAAAAAGAAGATAAAAGTCAAAGCGAACGAGAGTTTGCCTGTATCTAGAAAGTCCATTACCACAATTGATGGGGTCTTCATCCGTTCCGTCTTGACAATCGGTGTCTCCATCACAAGCCCATCTTTGGGGGATGCAGTGCCCGTTTTGGCAGCGGAAACTGGAGGCTTCACAAGTGTGATGAACAGCTAAAAAACAACACAATGCAGACTGTTGACTTACTGCAGGATTCTTGGTGCTCTGTGAGCTTGGTTGTTTTCTTGCAGATGTTTCATTATCCAACTAGGTAACATCATGAGCCGTGGTGGCGCACTGGTCAGAGTGCAGTATTGCAGGCTACTTCTGCTGACTGCCGGCTGACTGCAATTTGACAGTTTGAATCACACGAGGCTCAAGATTGACTCAGCCTTACCTCCTTCCGAGGTCGGTAAAATGAGGACCCAGATTGATGGGGGCAAATAGGCTGACTCTGTAAACTGCTTAGAAAGGGCTGTAAAGTACTATGAAGTGTTATATAAGTCTAAAGGCTATTGCTAGTCTTTCCTTCCCTCCTGCCTTCCATGTTGGCATAGTGGCTAGAATGCAGTATTGCAGGCTAATTCTGCCAACCACCAGTAGTTCGATCCTGACTGGCTCAAGGTTGACTCAGCCTTCCATCCTTCCGAGGTGGGTAAAATGAGGACCCAGATTGTTGGGGGCAACAGGCTGACTCTGTAAACTGCTTAGAGAGGGCTGTAAAAAGCATTATAAAGCGGTATATAAGTCTAAATGCTATTTCTATCTATCTATCTATCTATCTATCTATCTATCTATCTATCTAATCAATCATCAGGGTTAGAATTAGGGTTAGGGTTAGAGCTGTGGTAATGCAGTGGTTAGAGTGTAGTACTGCAGGCTACTTCTGCTGACTGCTGGCTGACTGCAATTTGGCAGTTTGAATCTCAACAGGCTCAAGGTTGGCTCAGCCTTCCATCCTTCCGAGGTCGGTAAAATGAGGACCCAGACTGTTGCGGGGGACAATATGCTGACTCTGTAAACCGCTTAGGGAAGACTGGAAAGCACTGTGGTATGTAAGTCTAAGCACGGTTGCTATTTATCAGTGTTGACTTACCAGCATGGAGGGACCAAAGTGGGGGGAAAGGAAGGAAGGGGGAGGAGAGAATGTGGAAATCAAGATGACAACCCCTTTCAGGCTACACACAGTCTCCAGTGACCCTGCCAAGCCAGAGATCAGTCGTCCAGCCCAGACTTCAAATAGGAGTTAATTCAGTCACCCAGGGTAATCTGTTGTGTGAATGCAACCAAGCTAAAGATAACTCTAGGCCACCAGCAGTCTGGAAAAAGAACATTGAACGGGCATTGCTGAGCTATCTTAAATGCTTGAAATGACCGTCTTTCACATTGTTGGGTAACAAGAATACACACACACACACACACACTGCTGTATTGGATCAGGTCAAGCTGACCGTCTCAGGCTGTCAGGCAGGATCAACCTTAGGAAAATTCACGAGAAAAGCTGGGAAGTGACATCGCCCTGCGGTGTTTCCCAAGACTTAGGAAGCTGGCTTTGATCTTCGCTTAAAAGTGCAAACAGCCCCTGGCAAACCCTTCTTCCTCCGCTTGTCCAAACCTTCTCCTCAAACCAGCAGTCAAAAACATATTTGTGGCTGTAAATTCCACCACTAACTGATGCCTTTTGCAAAGAAAAGAAGGGTGTTTTTTTTCTCTCTGCCCTGCATCAATTGATGGGGTTTAAAATTTTCACATTACGCAATTCTGATCAGTGAAATATATTGCTGTGCTTTTTCACAACCCCCTGCATTTTTCTGAACCCCTGTTTTGTCCAAAACATGATGCTAAAGAGCCATAATGCTGCTTCTTTTTCTCTCTCTCTTTTTAATAGGAGTTATGAAATGCAGCCCCACAAACCTTAAAGCAAGGCTGTCCAATCTTGGCAACTTTTAAGATGGGGAGATTCTGGGATTTGAAGTCCACAAGTCTGAAAAATGCCAAGGTTGGACACCATTGCCTTAAAGAACCTTTGGTTTTGCTGGCAGTACAAACTTGGGAGTACAAAATAATCAATAGTTTGCAATAGTTTTTTAGGCGGCTCTGGCATTTCCATCTTAGCTTCATTATATATTTGAGATCTGTTTATATCAAGAAGGAAAATCAAGTTCACCATCCTAGCTAAGTTCTCTCTTCCTTGTGCCAGCAGGAGAGATTGACATGTTTCTATAACATTCTAATCTATTATGCGCTTCTGAAGTGGATGTTCTATTAAGTATTCACTGTGAAAACTAATTATTTTTCAGGAAGTGTCATACCTGAGCTGAGAGAGGAACCCTTTTAAAAATAACTCCAGAGTCATTTCAAGCCAGATCTTAAGAATATAAGATTAAATCAAGCTGGCTTTTTTTTTTGGAAGGGTTTCTTATCCAGGCACAAAGAAAAAATCAGCACAGGAATGTTCATGCTACTTGACTACCAATTGCTCTATTTTAGAAACTGTCAGAGTTGGCAGGCAAACAAGGGGTGGGCCATAAAGTGGGACATTACAGGAGTCTATTTGACAAGTCTGGGAGCCTTAGAGACAGCCCTTCAGTTTGCCATTCCAGAAGGTGTGAGTTACAACCCCAGGCATCTTCCTTACTCCAATAAAAGTATCTTAGCCTCAGAGGTGGGTATTTAGCAGGTTCTGACCGGTTCTGGAGAACCGGTAGCGGAAATTTTGAGTAGTTCGGAGAACTGGCAAATCCTACCTCTGACTGGCCCCACCAACCCCATCTCTTCTCTGCCTCCCATCGAGTCCCAGCTGATTGGCTGGGTCTTCTTTGGTTGCCCTGCACAGGAGAACGGAGCTGGAAAGCAGGTTAGTGGGGTAAGGAGGGAATGGGATTTTGCAGTAACCTTTCCCCAGGAGTGGGAGGGAAAGGGGATTTTACAGTATCCTTCCCCTGCCATGCCCACCAAGCCACTGTCATGCCCCTGGTGGAGACTGACTCTGAGGAAGAGGAGGAACAGCCTACAGGGAGTGGGAGTGTGGCTCCAGAGGTGGTGGAGGAGGCTGGGGAAAGGCAGAGGCCGGCTGAGCAGTCAGAGGAGGATCTAGGCCCATCCCCTATCCACGCAGGGAGGAGAGGATCAGGGAAAAGCGAGGTCTACTCAAGAGGAGATTACCACGATCCTCTTCATGGCTTGCAGGTGGGAGCTATGTATATAAGTTTGCAACTGCGCAGTTAGAATTGCTGGAGTCAATTAGTGTTTACCTTGAAAGAGGTTTATCTTTGTTGGCGTTCTTCCCATGGACTTTTCTCAGTTATTTGCCTGGAATTTATGATTAGTTATCTCAGCTTGCTTCAGAACTCTCATCAATGCGGTTTGTTTTGGTTTTCTGTTAGCCTCATTATTTACTTTTGTGACTTTAAACTGTGCCTAATAAAACAGTGAAGTTAAGTTGAAGGCCTTACCGGACTTTAATATATGTTTTGGGTTATTTTGAGAGACTACGGGTCATCACAGCCACGCTCATAGAACCAGTAGTAACATTTTTTGAATCCCACCACGGCTTAGCCCCCATCCAAAGGAGGGGATGAGGAGAATCAACCTCTATGGGAGGTAATTAAATGAATAATCCAGCATTAAAAGATTGGTTTAAAGCTGGCAGAAATGGTGACGTGAGCTGTTTTAGTGGGGGAAATGAAGAGACCAGCTCAAACTCTTCGTTTTCACCCCTAAAAAAGCACCAGACCCAATAGCTATACATAGAGAGAGAGCCAGTTTGGTCTAGTGGTTAAGGCACCAAAATAGAAACCAGGAGATGGTAAGCTCTAGTCCTGCCTTAGGCATGAAAGCCAGCTGGGTGCCTTTGGGCCAATCATCAAAAGACTATGAGTTCTAGTCCCATCTTAAGCACGAATGCCAGTCAGATGACTTTAAGCCAATCACCAGGAGACAAAGAGTTCTAGTCCTGCCTCAGGTGTTAAAGCCAGCTGGGTGATTTGGGGCCATTCATTCTTTCTCACCCAACCCACCAGACAGGATTATTCTTGGGGGGAGAAACAGAAGGAGGAAGGTGTGTTGGATATGTTCACTGCCTTCCATTAGTTTTGAAAAATAATAAAGGCAGTATACCAATAAAGAAATAAATTATGTAAACCAGGGGTGTCCAACCTTGGCAACTTTAAGACTTGTGGACTTCAACTCCCAGAATTCCTCAGTCAGCTTGAAGTCCACAAGTCTTAAAGTTGCCAAGGTTGGACACCTCTGATGTAAACCAAGCCAGGATGTCATTTTTGATGTTCTGCAGTACTGCTATCAAATGGATAATGGAGTAGTAGGAAAGCACATCTTTGTGTCTCACGTTATAAAACTAGCTGCACAATGTATTAATAAGATGAGATGCATCCCACACACACCAGGTGTATCCTGTTATAAAGCAAATTCCAAGAAAGCTGTTTATATTTGCACCAGATGTTATCTACTGAAGAACAACTACTAACAACTTAATCCTTTCAGAGAGAGAGAGAGAGAGAGAGAGAGAAGAAGAAGGAGGAGGAGGAGGAGGAGAGAGAGAGAGAGAAAGAGAGAAGGAGGGGGAAGAGGGGGAGAGGAGGGGGAGGAGGAGGAGGAGAGAGAGAGAGAGAGAGAAGAATGAGGAGGAGGAGGAGGAGGAGGAGGAGGAGAGAGAGAGAGAGAGAGAGAGAGAGAGAGAGAGAGAGAGAGAGAGGGAGAGAGAGAGAGAGAGAGAGGAAGAGAGAGACAGAGAGAGAGGAAGAGAGAGACAGAGAGAGATTGCTCACCTGTGCAGTTCGCTTCGTCAGACCAATCCCGACAGTCGTTGTCACCGTCGCATTTCCATGAGAGACGGATACACATCCCCGAATTGCAGCTGAACTCGTCATTCTGACACTGGTGGGCTTCTGAAAAATCGCAGGACAAAATGGTGCAGGTGGAAACTCAGATTATATCTCACTATCCAATAGGCTGAGCCTCGCACAATGCACTATGGGTTGTATAATCATGATTGATTGAATTAAACCATAGATTAACTCGTGTGCAACTGCCTGAGTCTGAAGGAAGGACCCAATCAATTCCTCTTCAATCCCTCATCCTATTCCATCCCATCCCAACAGGCTTTCTAGAAGAACCTCCTTTCTGCAAAAAAGAAAGAAAGAAAGAAAGAAAGAAAGAAAGAAAGAAAGAAAGAAAGAAAGAAAGAAAGAAAGAAAGAAAGAAAGAAAGAGAAAGAAAGAAAGAAAGAAAGAAAGAAAGAAAGAAAGAAAGAAAGAAAGAAAGAAAGAAAGAAAGAAAGAAAGAAAGAAAGAAAGAAAGACACGGTTGTGCTTAGACAACATGTCACAACACCTCACTGGAGTCAACTGGTGGAGAGAAATGCCAGATGAGGTGGCTCTCTCCGCAATGAGGCGGCTCTCCTCCTTTCTTCGCCTTGCACAAGCCTTCCTCCTCATCCAGAAGTTTGGTGTCTACCCAAGTAACACTATCACAAAATCTAGCAGCAGATATAAAATCCATCATGGTAGGAGTTTCATCTGGAGTTTACAAATGGGTCATGTTTTGGACATAGTTCTTCTTGCCTGTTTCCTATGGGGGGACCAACTGCCAAACTATAAATCCCTACCATGGTAGGCGTAGGATCAACCATCTAGTCCAGTGGTCGCCAACCAGTGGGCTGGGGACCACTGGTGGTCCACGAGAAAATTTTGATGGTTGGCAATTAATTTGATGGTTGGTAAGCAATTAATCCAGGCTGCGTGGGAACACAAGGCTTGCATTGTGAACAACACAAGGTAGTGAGGGGAAGGGGGAAAGGGAGGGGGGAAACTTGCCCCACTAGCCCAAAGCGCTTGGACTGGCCACCAGGCTGCTTCTTTCCGCTTCTTTCTTCTTCTGCTTTTGGCTGCATGCAAGGAAAGCAGCAAAAGTCTTTCT